TTGCTTGATAAGTAGTTACCTGATAAGTTGATCTCAATTTCAGACTTATATATAACTATATGTTTAGTGTGGAATACTTGAAAGTAGAGAATATTGTGTTATACATCAGTTAGAGAGTCTAGTGAAAACTACCAAGTAGACACTGAACAGCGCTGTTTCATCCTATTTTTGAACTATCCAGAAGTGCCCGCTCATGAATGACCATACCAGGGATCGAACCCGGGGGCCCTACAGGTTACAAGATCAAGCTCATCGGCAGTTCAATCAATTGGGATGGAATTCTGTCTTTATCAAGTCGTGATATGGCGTTACCCACAACCAATGCCTACGATGAACATCCACTTTACCTTGACATTTCGAATCCTGATGGTCAATAATGTTGGTTCGTAATGAAATCTAACAGTTGAAATCAAACGCAACCCAAACCAGGACGAAACAGCTGTCCAATACTCCTATGTTTTCCAATGGTTCTCTAACTAATGTCACCTCATGATGAAAATCCTGTAACCAATCAAATCCCTACAAACCAACACTTGAATACCGATGAGATGCTCACTTGCGACTTGCCCTATTCAGGTAGGCAGTTACCTGGGGTTCTAGTGAGAAGTCGTGACCAGTAGGGAACAGCAGGTTGGGTGTGAGGACAAATACTCGCCAAAGACATTGGCTAGGGTTCGCGCTATGTCGCGAATTGGCAGAAGTTAGAATTCATGAGCTGGCCGTTGGATTGGATCCCAGTGGCTTAATGGTCTACGAGCTAGCTCGCCTTGTAACCAGAAGGTCCTGGATTCGAACCCCGGTGGGTGCGTACTGCTGAAGAGTCCCAAACTAGGACGCAACAGCTGTCCAGTACTCCCAGGTGGGTTTTCCAGTGGTTCTCTAACTAATGTCAGCTCATGATGAAAATCCTGTAACCAAACGCAAGTTGATTGATTACTACTGCATGGATATCCTGAAGATGTACTGAGAAGTCGTGAGCAGTTGGATCCATCATGTCAAAATGAAGTGAATACTAATCGAAGGCATTACTTGGGGGTAACGCTATAATATCACGAATTGAAAACGTCAGAATTCACGGGTTATTGAACTACGGCCAGAGTGGCTGAATGCTCAACGAGGCTTGATCTTGTAACCTGAAGGTCCAGGGTTCGACCCGTTGGTGGGATCGTGAGTAAGCAGTGCTAAATAGTTCCAAAACAGGAGGAAAAATCTTCCCACTAACTACTCTATGGTTTTCGGTAATCTCTCTAATTGATGTTGGTTCGTGATGGAAATTAACAATGGAAATTACTCCTAAATCCTCACAAATCTCATAATCTGAAAATATTCCGTCTTACCTTCTACATCAAGAAGTTAAAACATTCTGGTATAACCCAACCCTTACTCCTACAGTTCGTTAACTCTCACATTCAGCCTATTATTCTCTATTGTTCCCCTCCCCCTTAGTTTTTCCCGGGCTACTGAAGAAAGACTATAACATATTACGCAGGATGTTAAAAGTTGTCAGCAGGGTAAGCAACGTGCCACTTAACCAGCTTGTTAATATTCTGGTTGACAGACAGGCACTTGGACTCATGTGAAAAATGGGCCAAATCCATTTTATCTAACTCACACCACCCTCTTCACTCACAACTCTCCCCTTGCATCTCATCAGGAAAAACCAGAAGCCTATATAGAAAACTATATGCTCGCACCAACAAGTACAAAAACTCAACCATGCCCTACTTAGCTCGTGTTCTGTGTGATAAAGAAAGCATTAGGCGTGATACCTATAACTTATTAAATAGTCAGTAGCACAACTAGACCTCGTCTTTCCAACTCATATCATTTATAGGTACAACATTTTCTTCCTTTCTTTTCCTTTTCTCTCTCCCCTTTTTTTCTCTTTTTTTCCGTTATGTGCTGCTTTGTTTCTTTCTCTCGCTTACGCCAGTAAATATGACAGCACCTACTTTTCTAATACCTTCAAACACTGTTCAACTTTGGCTTTGCTACCGAGATGCTAATATGTTGTTGTCATCATGAGCTGAGATTTCCTTAATCTATGTAGAATTCTATTTATTGATAATGTACTGACTGGATGCAATACTGTAGTAAAAATGCTGAGAATTCCATTCTGTATGACAAGTACTGTTTTGGAATAAAGCAAATTATTATTACTATTAAAAAATTAGTATATATCCTTTTCATTAAGTCATCTATCATGCGGTCAAGACTTGGTTTTAATGCATAAAGTCTTCTGACTACCCTAAGTTATTAGAATGATGTCATTTATGAATGCTTAACGTGTTAGTTGTTTGCCTTCTTTTTGTTGATCTGTGTAGAAAGAACTTTAGCTAATTAGTCTAGGCACTCGACTTCAAACCAGTGGGTTACGGGTTTGAACTTCACCCACTGCTCTTCACATACAATAGGTGTGACTCACTGCCAACTGGATTCTGTTTTCAAATATGGCACTGTTAGCTTTCAGTACTAAAAAATATGCGTATTAACATGATATAACATAATAAGGTCGCTTCGTGATACAAGTATCAGTGGTTTGAACACTTAACTGAATTGAAATGTCACCAGAGAACTTTAAGCCATTGCGTACGATTTTAACCCATGTCACCAAGAGTCTCTAATCGTTGATTATTCATTCCTGATCACTCTAGCAGGTTTGAACATATACCCCAGTGACTAAGTTTTCAACGCAGAACTTCACACAAAAGTACGTTGGTTCAAGTTGCTACTCTTCATAAATCACATACAAAGGTAAGGGGAGGAAATCCCCGACTGATAGTTGCTACTATAACGTGGTGTTGGTTGGCCTCACCTGCTACATTGATCCAATAAGCTACACTGTCTGAAACAAATGTTCCTGAAAGTCATACCATGCCAGATATTTCATTTTGATCGCCGTCAGAGTAAAAGTAGCTGCCATAATAATGTAAATCGTTCACTCTACGTTGAAGGTCAGACGACGAAATTGTACTGTTGGTAAATAGAGGTATAAAATCAATGAGGTGTCCCTCTTAGAAGGACAGCAAGTCAACAGGCCGTGTGTGATCACTCTCAAGCGACTCTCCCCTAGACTCGAAGATCTCACAGCACTAAGACTCCTTTTGTTTCAGATAATTCAAAGAGGAGTCAACTTCCACGGGGCTGCAGACAGCTGGAAAGTAATCACCGCCCACGCACTTCCATGTCTAAGGTGCTTCATTAAGATTAACGTCAAAACAGGTGATTTAGTTATGCCAGACCTGTTTTTTGAGGAAAAGCATACTTTGAAAACAGAAAGATTGAGCGAAGAAATATTTACTTTTCAATTAGATCCTCATCTCACTCTGGCTCTACTCGAATATATATAGCATTTTTTACAATACACAACAATTTACCAAACAAGTGGCGATATGTTTGTTAACAATAATTAAACAGTGTCAAAATGTCAATGGGTTGATAATTAACGAAGAAAATCAATACACATTTAAAAGGTGGAAATGGTTAGAATAAATTAATTTTACAAGGATAACACGTAATTAAAGATGAAGTGGTCAAAATAAATAAAAATAAAATAATTTGGACAATTATAATTTAATAGGTTTAGGGGGAGGGGGGCGACGCAGTCCTGTCTTGTAACGATGGCCACGGTAAGGAAAGTGGCTGTACAAATTTCTTCTGAACACATAGGTTAGGTTTCTGCTGGTGGATTCCGATTGCTTCAGCTGTCTGTAGAAGACGAACTCGTAGAGCAAAATTAAGATTGGTCGGAATGCGATAAATAATTTTAAATGCAGTATTCACATCAACTTTGTGCTCAGTATCAACAACGTGTGCTAAAATAGAACTACGAATAGATCTTGTTTGTCTCTTGCTTAACCACGCTGAATGATGTTCAGAAATACGACGATGAAACTGCCTAATTGTACGCCCAATGTAGCTGGCTCCACAACTGCAGTCAAACTGGTAGATGCTCATAGAAGAGGCAAAATTAGGTAGTTTATCCTTATTTCTCGAACATAGAATAGGGATGGTTGTGAAGAGACAACGTACCTCAGCTGCATAATAAGCTCTTTTTACTGCATTCTTCAGGCGCTGTGTTATGATTTCGCTGATGTTGTTACCGATAAACTGCAATCTTATGAAGATTGTTTTTTTCGGAACTGTAGGCATACTGACTCTCCTTGGCGCTGAATTCATATTTTTCTCAGTGAATTTAGCTGAATAACAATTGTTTCTAAGTAATTCTTTAATAATCTTAAGCTCCTCATTGAGACAGTCGTCTGAACAGATTAACTTAGCTCTATGAACCAGACACTTTACCAGGTTACGCTTATATTTCAAAGGTACAAAACTCAAAAAATGAGTGTACTGACCTGTTGTTTTAAGTTTCCTATACACACTCCTTGCCATGAAGACGTCTAGGAATGAGATACTGTCATTACTTTCTTTCTCCATGGTAAAGTTTATTGCTGAATGTGCATCATTAAACTTGTAAAGGATGTTCATTGCATCATTCTCGTCTTTCATAACCACAAATGTGTCATCCATATATCGACAGTAGAAATCCATGTCATCGATTACTCCTTTCAGTGGTCCATTCTCCAATTTAGCGAGGAAAAAATCAGCTAGGATTGGACCTAATGGGGAACCCATAGCTACACCATCAATTTGTCTGTAATATTCCTTATTGAATAAGAAATGAACATTCATTGTACATCTTAAAATAAGTTCCTTCAAGGTGGATATAGAAATTCCGATGTCTATGTTTCGTTTATTAATCTCCTCACATATAAAATCCACTGTCTGCATTAACGGTACATTGGTGAACATGGAGGATACATCAAAAGATATCATAAACTTGTCCCTCACATTAAGATCTCTTATTTTTTCAAAAAATGGGGATATTTTCTATATTGAAAAGCATACTCATTATTCTTGTTGATTTCAATAACTAGTGTTCATCAAATGTTTTGCTCTTATTTTTGACTTGTTCTTTTGTTTTTTTTGTTTTTGTCAAGGTTAAAGAGATTGTCTACTTCAATGCTGTTTTAGCGCCCAAAGACTCTCGTGCAAAATGGCGAGCTACATGTGTATGGAAAGAAACTGATCAGATTATTAATCAACTATCGAAAATCAATCATTCTGACAGTGGTATAGTACAATCACCACCACCAGGATCATCCTCAGAACAACAACAACAACACAATCGTCAACTACAATCAACTGATGATCCTGATTCAGGATTAGATAATTCTGATGAACTTACAGATCATAAGAAAAAGTTGATGAACAGTTCTACAAAAAGAGATAGTTCAATAAAAGCTTTATTTGATGAAGATGATTTATCCTCTGAATACGAGTTTATTATTAATCAATTCGCTAATGTTCGGATGGTTGATGTCTGGGAGATTGAACAGTTTACGAGTCAAGGGAAACATACCAATAGTCAAATCAGCACTAACAGTGTTGTGACCAATGACAGTATCACTAATCATCATAATGATCGGCATCATCAACAAGCACCAACACCACCACCCCAACAACAACAACATCATACTAGAACTGGTCATCCTATGGCTTCACCACACAATCCAAGTGATCTAGATCGAAGTTCATCAGTGAGTAGTGAATCATTGTCAGATTTGAATACTCTATCAGAAATACCGAGTATTATGTCCGGTATACAACCGGAACCACCAATGGTGACAAGACCTTTAAGCTATGCGGAAAGCACTCTAAGTAATAATGATGATACTAATTGTGACTCCAGCTCTAAAATACTTATGATGCATAAACCAGGTTGTCCATGTAAATGTCTATTATCCACAACAGAATATTCATTGATGTCACAAGGCAAAGCAAAGAAAAATAGTGTCACTACACAAACCCTATTTACAGGTGATATTAAAGGGAAGTTGGTTTATCATGAAACTCAAGAGACTGGTAATCATCATTCTTGAATAGTTGATTATTATTATCATTAATTCATCTATTTTTTATTAATCCCTCTCTTCTAAAACAACTCTATTTTCCTATAATATACACCTATATATACATATATGCTTTGTGTGTCTCCTTGTTCGAGACCTTTATTTCATCCAGTAAAATAAATTAAAAATCGTTCTTGTATGTGTACTCAGGTATAGTTCAATTCTCACATCTTATCTTGAAAGACGAGTTGTTGTTGACCGAGAAAGTCTTCTGATGTCATTTCTATTTGTATTGACATGACACATCCGTTTTTTTAACGAGTATGACAAATGCAACTGTTGAGTGTGTGTTTGTGTGCATGTTTCATCTTCACTGTCTCTACATATATACCATGGATACCACCTTGTTGATACTACTGACCCTACGATCAACCATGATATCTTCAAGCTTCTATATTTTTAATTCATCACTATCTGTTCTATGAGATAAAAAAAAGAGTATACAAAATGACATTTTTATAAATGTAATTCATAGATATCCTCACATATTGCTTACATCATAAATAGTTGCTCTCCTCCACTGTTTTCATCATACCTGAACTCTTCCTAACTATGCCTATTTATTCTTTTCCTTCAACGTTAACAAGATGCATTTGATCCGTTTTACACACACGCAAACACTCATAAACACACTTATTTTGTTCTGATTCTTCTGAGTATATATGAGTAACAAGTAACAAAGATAATTGCGCTCTAACCTATTGAAGTATGGGCGAATTTCAGTAGTATCATCAATTGTCCGCCTCTCTCTCTCTCTATCTCGCTCTCACCCATACAATAGATTTCTGGTTCGAATTGGCTGGTACATTTAAAACGTCCGCTCCACATAACTAAGATCAAATAAATAAATAAATAATTCACATGTAGGGCCATTCACTTGCTTAGTACTTTTTATTTCCAGTGTATACTGGTGGATTGGGGAACTTGATGGTTCCCTTGAATTGATTGTGATGCAAGGAGTTTACTATGCTTTCATTCCTATCAAATCTTGAAAGGAAAAAATATGAATGTAATGTTTAGTTTTATTCTGTTTTTCCCTCTTCCCGCTATTCGTCGATGAATTTTACTAGTGTAATCGAAACCCCTTCATTCCTGAGGGCTGTGATCATACATATATAAACAAACAACATTTCCTGCTCTTCATACATACTTATATATATTTCTACAATGACAAAAATTAAATAGAAACTTTTCTTACTTTCCTTTGTATTTTGCTATTGTTTTCTATTGTTCCCCAATTTGATCGTCCCCTGACCTTCACCTTCACCTCCTCTTTGCTATTTTGTTTTGCTCTATGTAAAATGGCTTGTGTTATTAGTATATTCATTCAAGAATATAGAGTGACACTAAAAAACGATGCTATTAGTTTGAAATAATGTATAATGTACTAATTTGTAGTGATAATAATAATTAATGACTTTACTATTATTCTAACTGTAATCGTAGTAATGAGAAGACAATTTCAATGTCATGATGAATATGTAAGTTTATAATATAAAGAATATATTCAAAAAAAGAATAAATATTGTTTTGCTTTCGTTTGTTTATTTGTTCTGTATTTTCTTTGGCGGTATTTTCAAAAAAATAGGTATTAGTGTGTGCATGTGTGTGTTACGTTTCTCTTTATAATGCCGCTTATGATATATTTTTCTCTTCTTTTCAAAATTAAAAATTGATTATGACGGTAGTTAGAGCATTAACTGAAAGATAATTGTTGTCGTCGTTCGGTAGTCAACTTGTCGGACGGTCCAACTTTACAATAATGTTTATAAAAATATATATTGAGTTATGTCTAATCAGTGAACCTCTTTTACTGAACTGATATCTTTCTCCTGCATATCTTCGAGTCTGAGCGCTGCTACTAGACATAGATCATCTACAAAAATCCAGATTTTTTTTTGGCGTCTTTTTGTAGATCCATCGTATTTCCTGTCTTCTAACTCAACAGCAACAATCCAATAGCACACAAGAGGAATTGCATCCAAACGCTATTCAAGAGAGCCAACCAGGACTCATTGCAGCACTCCCACCTTAAGGAAAATTGAAGAAAAATATCTCATGGACGTCTTCCAAAAGAATGGACATCCACGGAATTTCATCAAAAGACATATACCCCCAAGCCAACCTATCAAACCAAAAGCCCCCAAGGAAAGCACAAAAAATATCGCCTTAGCATATATAAGGGATATCTCAGAAATCACTAGAAGGCTCTTCAAACCTTTAGGAATTGACGTTGTACACAAACCGACAAAGTCACTTCACTCAATTCCATGTCAACCAAAAGACTCAACATCAAAAGAAGATAAAACCAACATCGTCTACAAAATAAATTGTATCAACTGCGAAAAACACTACATTGGCGAAAGTGGACGTCCCTTCCGTCTTCGTATCCACGACCATAAGCTAGCAGTTAAAAGACGTGATATCCACTCCCTCACTCATATCGCTGCATACAAACAACCGCGGACATCAATTCGATTTGGACAATGTTCAAATATTAGGCAGAGGAAACACCAAGAATGCTAAAGAATTTTTAGAAGCTTGGCATTCTAGTGAATCATCAATCAATAGACACATCGAGATAGACAAAATTTACCAACCGATAAGAGGGAAATCTCACACACAGAGGGTCAAAGTTCAAGTCAAGGAAACAATCAGTTCCAATACAAGTGGCCTACAGGGTGTGAAAACACACAAAAACAACCAACCACGACGTTGAAGCTGACCGGGAGAGATGACTAATAAACTCATGGAGAAATCTAAAAGCTCACTTCAATGAATTGAAGTATTCGCTGAAGATGTCGCCTAGTAGGGCGATAAAAGCTTCGCAAATTAACTATCCAGCTCAAAGAACACAACCATATCAAAATCATCCACCTGAGCTACAAATCTCTATCATGTCTTCCAACTCTCTACAGTCTGCTGCATGATCCAGTCCACTACAATCTCGAAGATCATCGAAAAGAGAGTAGGCAATCTTGTCTTACTCTTATCTTTATTTCAAACGTCTTGTTAAGCTTTCTGGTACGTGGTATCATCACCATATAACTGTTGAGTTAGGTTTATAAATGCTTGTGGTACTGCATTCAGTGGTGTTGTAGCAGTTGAAAAATTACTATTCGTGGCTGACGATTTCAAAGGCCTTTTCAAAGTCAATGGACATGAAATACAGAGATGGCCTCCATATGGTCCACTCAATGTATAGTTTTCCTTACACCAACCTGTTCTAGGTAAAGTGTCCCATCTAGAACATCTTTAAGTTTTTCCAGGATGATGAGGCTTAATATTTTGCTTGAATTAGACAGCAACATGTTTCCATGCTAGTTTTTGCAAAGGTCTAAGTTGCTTTGCTTTGGCAAATTGACAAGGTCGTCTTTCTTCCAATTGACAGGTACTTACAACATCTTTAGCAGTGGCCTGAGGATATTTGCTGTGGTCACTGAGTCCATTTTAAGTGATTCTAGAGGGATTTCATGTGGTCCTGTCGCTTTACTGGAAGTCAGTAACTTTCTGACCTTCAAGACTTCTTCCTTTAGAAAATTCATAACAACAGGTTGTAACCTATTCGAAAATAGGTGTGAGTATAGGTTTCAATTTAAAGACGTCATTGAATGATTAAAACAAAATGAAATGGAGTAAATACGATGCATTTGGATGGACAGAAAATTTATGTAGACCAGTGATTTAAGCAGGCCATCGAGGATGTAGATCTACTTCCTAAAGAGAGACTTTCTGACCTCGAATATGCAGGCGATATCGTCTTATTATGCAATAGTATGCAGACTGCCCAAATCAAAGCTGATCAGTTGGCGATCAGTGTCTATAAGATTGATATGTGCTCTGTGACGTCTAAGTGCAAGGTATTGTTGCAAGATTGGCAGGGACCTGTACCTGCACTCATCCTTGAAGGTAAACCGCTTGAAGTTTTTGACAATCTTGTGTATCTAGGTGGTTGTGCGAGTGCTGGTGAGGGTGTGACAAACAAATTCTCTGACCGTGTAATGAAACCTATGTTGGCAGACACCTACTTGGGCTATCTCTGGCGCTGTCGCGAAGTCAACCTGACTGTCCAAGGTAGGGCATACAATGCTTCAGTGCTCTCAGTCTTGCTCTCTGTCTGTCATATTTGGCCTCCTTGAGGTAAGGATGTGGGGCGACTCTGCATACTCGATCACCGCTGCCTCTGTATAAGTGCTTGCGCCCGATGGCATCATCGTGTGCGTAGTTCAAAAGTCTGGGTGTGCGTGTTCTGAAATGCCAGAGGTCATTGAGTGCAGTCCTCTTGAAACATCAGATTTGGTGGCTTGGACATTTGCTACGAATATCATCTCACGGGTTTCCGTACCAGTCGCTGTCCACTAGCTCTAAGACTGGATGGAAAAGGGGAGAGGTGATTTGCCCACTTCATGATGCTGTCGATGAAGGATAACTGTGTTACATTAGCATCAGTCGGTACATCACAACTCACTGGTTGAGGTCCAAGAGATAGCTCGAATCGATGACTCGAAACGTTATCAGATATAGCCAAGAATCGTATAAAATGCCCGCAATTTCCTTCTTTCATTCCCTTTCTGAAAATAAAAAGTGAATAGATAAATGTTGATTGGTCTTGACAAGCGTCCTTGCTGGCTTTCTTTCCGGATGGAATCCCTCATTTATTCGATACGTTTTTCCCCAAACATTAAAAAAAAATATTTTTGTGTAATGTATATCTTGGTACTCATAGTAGACCAAGTCTGTGTTTTAAAACAATAAATAATTAATTTCTTACATTTGGTTCCCTTGATAAACTTCGATAGAGAAAGAAAGACCAGATTTGCAGTATAAAATGATATCATTCTATTTCACAGGTTCTCATTAGCTGCAAACTACCTGAAATTACAATGGTTATAATTAATAACATTTCATACTTCATTGTTTGAAAGGTAATACAGAAAGCATTATCAGATAAACGCATCCGGAATATAAGGATTAAAATTTTTGTAGTTTAAGTTACCATCAATTTATATACTATCAAACTATGAAAAAAGGAAGAAAAAGGGGGGGGGGGTGAGAGAAGACAGAGAAAATCTAATAAACAGTGCCAACATGACAACTCAACAAGGTCAAAGTTCATCAATTCGAAAACTTGCTTAGTGAGTTGAGCCCACTAGTGTCTATGAGTAATCAGTGTAATGAAAGTGATATGGTTACCAAGGGAGTGAGAGATTGACTACACTCTCTTTCTGTGTGCATAAGTTTGGTCTGAGACGTTTGATTGCAATTGCTTCAGCAAATCGTAGTAGATTCGCTGTCCTTTGTATGTTTAATATTTTGAAGGATTTGGAAATCTCGACAAAATGGCCCGTATCCACAAGGTGTCTGGTAATTGCACTTTGTAAACATCTGCTTCCTTTTAGGCATAAGTTTCTCGGAATATGCTCTGAAAACCGGATAGAAGCCCTACTTTCTGTCCTTCCGATGTACTTGCTGCCGCAGGTGCACGTAAATTTATAAGTGCAGTTGGAGGTAACATCAACAGGGTATTTATCCAGTTTCGATTGGCTTATAGAGCATGTAGTACTGTATAATGTCACTAGATTGGCTGCAGGGAAGCATCTCTTGATTGCTCCTTTCATCCTTTTTTCAATGTTTTGCGATACTGTTTCTCCTTTGTATGGGAGGCAAATGAATACTTTCTTCTTTTCAACTGTTGGATACTTCTGTTTCTCATCTCTTTCTTTGCTGTACTCTAGGATAAATCCTTTTCGATACCCGTTTGTTGAGATTTCCAAATCCTTCAAAATATTAAACATACAAAGGACAGCGAATCTACTACGATTTGCTGAAGCAATTGCAATCAAACGTCTCAGACCAAACTTATGCACACAGAAAGAGAGTGTAGTCAATCTCTCACTCCCTTGGTAACCATATCACTTTCATTACACTGATTACTCATAGACACTAGTGGGCTCAACTCACTAAGCAAGTTTTCGAATTGATGAACTTTGACCTTGTTGAGTTGTCATGTTGACACTGTTTATTAGATTTTCCTGTCTTCTCTCACCCCCCCCCTTTTTCTTCCTTTTTTCATAGTTTGATAGTATATAAATTGATGGTAACTTAAACTACAAAAATTTTAATCCTTATATTCCGGATGCGTTTATCTGATAATGCTTTCTGTATTACCTTTCAAACAATGAAGTATGAAATGTTATTAATTATAACCATTGTAATTTCAGGTAGTGTGCAGCTAATGAGAACCTGTGAAATAGAATGATATCATTTTATACTGCAAATCTGGTTTTTCTTTCTTTGTCGAAATAATTAATTAATCACTCAAATAATTTAGGAGAATTATTGATCGACTGAAAATGTAGCTACCAGGCTAGACTTTAGGCATCGGAGGAGTGAGACTGCAGCAAGGACTTTGGAACGTTCAGTGAGCAAGTTGGTGAAACTAGGAAAATAACACTATAATCATGATATGAAATAAGATGTATGGTAAGTTCAAGGTTAAATGTGGGAAGGATTTAGTTATGCTTTAGGCTAAGGACCGGTT